GGAGTTCGTGCCCGCGGGAAACCACACGATCCCATGGTCCGCCCTGGTACACGTACGCCGCTGACGAGATCCGGGTGGAATGCTCGCGGAGGTTACCGTCAGAGCCATACCAAGCCATTTTTATCCTGAGGCAGAACTGAAGCAATACGCCCCCTAGTTTGTAGGGTTGTCACACTCACAGCTTTAAATTTGTATAATACGATTCGAAAAAATCTGAAAAATTGTAATTAGGTTTCTAGCAGAACAAGAAATAATATTTCTTAAAATAAGTTAATTATTAAATATTTTGCGACCCCCAGCTTCAGGCGCCCAAGGCAAGTGCCTCGTTCTCCTCACCGTAAACGATTATCTTACACCCGCTGTAAAATACTCTTTAAAATACTCTAAAATACTCGTCGAGATGCGCCGAATTAAAAAAGTGTGCGTTTTCGGTGAGCAGAGCGCCAAGCACGACACGGAAGCGGGTCCAGTGAAACGTTGCCCGTTGAAACGGCGAAAACGGAAAAAAAAACATCTATTTAAATCCGAAACGGTAAATGTTTATCGAACCGTAGTCATCGCCCGATCGTGTTTGTTAATCATACGGAAAACGAAAACCGAACACGACCGACTCTGATATAATAACGCTCTGGCCTCGAGCAAATATGCAAATATCGGAGAACAACCCAGTTGCGACGTTATTCCGGACTGACGTAAGTTTCCGCACGTAATGCCGTATTTCCCAGTAAACACGATAAGCTAGTGCTTAGGGCAGCAATTTCTCAAGGACGGCGAATAATTTTTAAAATTTAATTTTTATTATATATAACTAGAACTAAAATAAATCCAACTAATTATAAAATGTTTTATTTTATTAAATCCGACGGGTACTAGGGCACTATTTAATTTTGAATATAATTTAAAAATTAACTATTTAAGCATTTTTTACTACCATGTTTTTTATCATTATATTTTATATCATATTTTTATAATTAAGTATTTTTTATGAATGTATATATGCATTTTTATAACAGCTGTATATTTTTATTTTATTTCATTATAGTTCTAAGTTAAAACTATAATAGTAAGCTTTAATGACATTTTTTAGACTAGAAAAATATTTATATTAAAAAGCGACAATTTGTTTAGTGCTTAAAGTGGCACAATGGTTAAATCCGGCTACTGGCCGCACAGAGTGTTGCTGGTAAAAATCATCCGTGTACGTGCACGTGTAAGTTTCAACGCGAAAATCATAACGAATACTAGTTCTCTACGTATTATCACATTTTACTCCTGTTTAGGACCGACAACCTAAAGTTGGTCGGTGACACGATGCGGTTAAAATTTGTTAATTTTTGAGTTATTTTCACATGAAAAATTACACGTGCGTGTGCGTGAGTGTGTGAGTGCACGCGCGCACGTGGAGTGAAACAACAGAGATTTAAGGATTTAAGAGGAATCGGTAAATCGCAGACATCAGCTGTTTGTCTCCACGATATGAAATGGGAGAACTACCACGTTTCTTTTTTCTTTCTTTCTTCAACCGATAGTTCTCCCCGTAAGTGAACACGATAACTTTTATTTTTAATTAATTCAACGGTTGCAATCTGCGAGGGATCGTAAAAGCGGGCAGATCTTTTTCGTTTCCGTTAAAACCGTTCTCGCATCGTTGTTACGACATCGATCTTGGGGCGCGAGGGAACAACCGTCGAGATTTAACGGACGTAACACGTGCCGTCGGTCACGAACAGTGATGGAAGATTTGAGCGAAATTGTTATTTTATTCTTTACTTTTTACAACTTTTTGTGTTCACTGTTACGATAAAATGTTTTATTTCTTCGTTCCACCACCGAAAACCATTTAAATGCGATCCAAGCGTGCGCGCACGGCCATCAATTTTGACCGAGCGCGTTTTGAATTACGTTTACACAAGGACCAACGATCCACTAGTTTGTTCCGAAATATTAAGTCACAAAATCATATTCAACGATTTCAAAAACGTTGTTTTCTTAATTAGTTGGTA